TATATATATATATATATTAAAATATATTTTTAGAATCGATATTAAATATCAAAACAAAGATAAAAATTTATCTTTTTATAAACTATGTGTGTTTGTATACTTTCATATGAACTTTATTTATATATTACTTTATTACTTTATTTATAATTCATATATAGGCTATTAATATATTCATAAAATACTATTAGTGAATTTTAGAGATAATATTAATTTTAGACATAAATTGATATACAAAAATGTCAATTAAGATATATTTATTACATTATACGGAATTTCGCGTTAAATAAAACAAGATAGAGATTGATATTTTTATATATCAATACCTTCTAGAATTGATCCTCCAAAGAAAATATTAAAGATATATTAACACTTTGCATAGAATCTTTCAATTATCTCCTAAAATATTCGTTATCGTAAAAAATATTTGAAATATTATTTTGAGGGTGAATTTATGATCATGATATGAATGATTATGAATAATCACAAATCTTATCCATAAGGTTATCATCAAGATTTCATTCTAACTTTAATTCTAAATGAAATTACACATTTTTATTATAGATAGACATGTAATCTATTTTAAGACGAATTCATTGATCTATATTATGATTTGAAAATTATTTAAAATATTATTTTATTTATTATTATTCAAAATTTATATTCCTTAAATATCTAGAAGTTATATTTTGTTTCCTTATACATATTATTTATTACGTGTTCAAAAGTACGATCTTGAACGTCAATAAATTAATTAATTCTATATTTGAACGATAATTCCATCTTTTTCAAAATTGTGAACTAATGATTTTATGTTATGTTATATATGGTATCCGTATTTTGTGTTTAGATCAAAAAATTTATAATTATAGATATAATGTATATCTTAATTTTTTTATTTTTATAATTAAACTTTATATTTTATTATAATTTTATTGGATTTAGAATTGTTTTTGTGCTTTTTAATTCTAAATTGTCTTTTATTACATAAACAATGATGTATAATCTCATTACTTCTTTAAAATAATTCGTTATCAATTCATCAAATTTATTTCCAATGTAAACTGATATTAGGAATGTTTTTGTTACATATTTGAACATATAAAACTTTTTGTTTTGAAAAATATTACTTGAATTTTCATAATGAATTATAAATTATGAATTAATCTGATATGAATGTTCTTAAAGAAATTAAAGAAGAAAGATTTTTATAAAGATTGTATAATATCTTTTTGAAACATAAAAAGTTTTTTAATTTGAATTAATTATATTAAATAAAAAATTCTAATGCAATTTATCATTCACTTTTGTCCATTACACAACGCGTCAAATCATAAATAGACATTTTTTAAAAGTTCTTATAATAAAAAATTTTATCAATTAATAAAAAAATTTATATTTTTAATACGACTATGATTTTAAAATGGTCACATCATTCTCCAAAATAAAAATCGTCATTTATAATTTCTTTGTTTTTTAAAATTAAATTATCAATAATAAAATTATGTTTTTATATTTCTAATATTTTTGAATTATATCTAAATTAATATTAATTTTCATTTTAATTTTTCAATTGAATGTAATGTATTGTTCGTTTTGATCATGTCTTAAGTGAAATCTTATCTTTTATTTACTAAAAACAATTAGTTACTAACTATTATTGTGAATGTTACAAAAATAATTTTTTGCCACCACATATGCAAATGTAATTTAATTATGATCGATTATCAACAAATAACAATTGCGACAAAAAAGTAGTAAAAAAAAATTTGTTCAATAGATATTAGAGTAAATATTATTTTATTTAAAATATAAATATAATATTATTTTAATTATTTGATGATTAACTGTGTATGTTGTTATTATTTTTTTATTTCTATTTCTATTTTAATAGTTTGCAATGTTTCACTTGAAATTGATATTAAGAATTAATCAAATCTAAATAACTTCTTTCGCTTTTTATAATTTTCTTTTGTTGACTACAATTTTCTCTTTCTGTTTTTTCTTCAATATGTTTTTTTTTGTCTCCTTTGATTTTAATTTTTAATATTTTTAAGAATGAAAAGTCTACTGATGCATTATGTTATTGCATTAAAATTTGCTGCATAATTAGCATTACAATTACAATACATTTTTTGTCGCTAGCGATCAAAGAACAATATAGACAAGTTATTATAACATGAGTTATAATGAGTTGTGAGTATTAATAAGATTGCTCATTGTTATTCGAATTTCATTCTTATAACTAAAGTCGGCTTTTAGACATTAGTTATTTGTGCATATGATACAATCCAGATGATAGATTAATGTTCACAGATATGGAAATAGATCATTTGTATGTTATGATAGTCGACGATATATTGTCAACAATGCAAGAAGACGACATCAACATAAATTGCTGTCTAAGATGAGTTTTGATAAATTGAATATGAATAAGATAATTGATTAATTATTATTGAAAAAATAAATAATGAAAAATATTTACTTAATAATTGAAATATTTTTTTAATATTGGATATTTTCATTTCACTTTAATGTCAATTGGATTACTCTTGCATTGCATTCTGATGAAGCATTCTGATAGATTGTACTCGTACAAGTATGTATAATTGTTTGCAATATTCAATTCAAGGTAGTTGTTAAAAAAATTGGAATGGAATCTAACTCGTATTGTGAACAGATGAAACTCTCTTTACAAGAGAAGAATATAAAAAATATAAAAAACTTTAATATTATTTATGAAGCAAAAAATATTTTTGCATTTCGATTTTATGCTCAAATCCGCTGGTCAATCACTTTATGGGCCAATAATTTCTAATGCCCAATGCTTGCCTATTATTTTATAAAGTGCCGCATATAAAGCATTTTTGGAAAATGTTCTTCTGAAACTCCTGAAAGAAATTCCATTGGAGATCCGTAAGAGCATGATAATATTATAATTCCTATCACTTTAAATCCAGACTTATTTAAATGTTTCGAATAACAAAAAACACGATGATTTTATGCTCTCGCGGACATTTAAGATAATTTTGTTATTAATATTGTTTTTCACATTATTTATTTTGAATATTTTTTATTTTCATTTTTAGAAATAATCCTCTTTTTATTTCAGAATAAGAGATATCCATTGACATTAGTAAAGGAAATTATCAAAATTCATGATGCAATAATAAATATTACCGCATAAATAGAAGGAAGTGATAAGATGTTTCTTTAGTAGAAACATATATATAGAAAACAATCTTGTTAGATTTTATTTAACATAAATTTTATTTAATAATAGTTCCTGAATTACAAATGATCAATTTTCTTACTTAATTTGATTATAAATCATTAACCGATTATTAAAGATAATTGTATAGTAAAATGGACAATATAATTAGTTCGATATTGTTGTTTGGTGATGTATTATCTCTAATCAGATTAATTTATTATAAATTAATTCATAATCTATTGATACATTTTAAAACTCGAATTGAATTTTTAGATAAATAAGTCAATTTAATCTATTCAAAAATCTATTTCAAAAAGTTTATATTTATCTTTTTGTACCACAATTTTGCATTATTCATTTTGAAATCGAATAAAAAATTCCATTTATTTGTCGTACGTGAATAACAATTAATTATATATTGTTTGTGAATAAGTACAATTCGATATAATTTTGTCCAATAGTTTGCTTTAATACTTGTTACTTAAATTTGTTTGCCTAATTGATATTACGTATCCAATGATATTGTAACTCAATAAGTCAGTGTGCTTTATAATTAACCAATATTAATAAAATTACAAAATTAAAATGAAAATTTTTACAAGGAAAAAAAATTATTTGAAATCACTTTAAGAATCACCAGTTAAATTTTATCATTTTTGAACCTATATTATATTATATGTATATTATATGTATATATATAATCAAAAGCATTCAAATATAGCCAAGAGTTATATCTATTCTGAAATTGCACACTCAAAATAGGTCTTAATGTTGATTTTTTGAATTAAAGAAATATACATATACATAGAATATACGTGTAAAAGACTTTAAGATTTTACTTTACAATTGAATATTATGTTTATTTATTTATTTTTTTGTTCATGATTGTTCATAATTTGATATAATTTTTTTATTGATAAAAAAAAAATATATATATATATATAATATATAATATTTAACACATATATATTATAATATAACACACTTTTATCCAATTTCTTTCTTTTATTTTAAAATCTTATTAACTATATTTAAACGCCACATTCTCTAACAATAATTTTCTATATTATTCAAATATAGTTATCTAAATGGTAATTTTGTCGTTTTTGGATTAATCATAAGTGCAATCAGTACTCGAT